ACGTGGCAAAAAACTAGAGGTGTATTAATAAGAAAATGGCTGAGATAACAGGTTTTAAAGATGAACAAATAATGATCAATAATCACGTGACCGGTGACTTCTTGCCAGGCACTGTACATCGGTTTAAATGTAATTAGCTGGCAAATTTAACCGGTCGGTTAATTAACCGGTTATAAATTAACCGGTTCCAACCTCTAATCTTCATACTCATTAGCAACCTTCAATGGCATATCACATTTTCACCAAACTCGTCTACAGATCTCTACAAAGAATTATCAGCTTGAGTTCATAACTTCAAAATATCATTGCATTACAATACCCACAACAAGAACAATACGCAGCCATGTATTAATGCCAGCAAGCTGACTAGCTTGACTTGGTCGCACGACTTTGACAATGTCTTCGTGATGAACTTCAAGAATTTTATATAAGCGATTTCAACCCTGGTACAAATGTTGGCGCAAGACTACAACTGAAGAGAAAAGGCAATAATAATACTGCATAAGCTGATCGGTACTACAAAATACATACTTTGCTATCGTCTCTTTTGTCAGGCGCTGTTTGTGTGTGTATTTGTTGAAAATGAGATACGTGGGCCCCTCCTTCGCGTCAATCATTTTTCTTTTCAATTCATTAGGTTCATTCTGTTCACTCTCACTCTCATGCTTATTTGAATGTATTACCGTGATTTATTTACTCGCATAGTTTTGGGTTCTCTTGTGTTGCTTGTAGTAGTCCATTTTGCAAAAAAATAATTTCATGCATGTGTAAGCTCTATTAGATTCAATGGCAATAATATTTCTCACGAGTACCTGAAGATCTTTTAACTTCTCTTTTAATTCGACTTCAACAGATGTCCAAACTGTATCTAAGACTCCTCCTTTTCGACGTCCACGCTATGTAATTGTTAGTTTTAATCGTGAGTCATTATAGATAATAAAGCGTTACAACTAACCACGACGATCGTCACTCATCGAATCATAACGGGGTATCAAGCAGAATTCCCGCGTAGTCGTAGATATCCAAACCAACTAAACCGTTGATATGGCCACTGCCTAAGAGAACTTCTATCCAGCACATTTGTACAAGAAAAACTACACTTACCTTAGCTGTTTCTTGAAGCGTTGTTGCCTTTCTTATGTATCAACATTGGCCGACGTGTTCACAATACTTCGCAAACTCTTGTTGAGTTTGTCTGCAGCCGTCTTTTACTCAAGTTTTTCTGTCTATATTTGTTTTTTTCTATGAAAAACCGATGGAACTCGACAATATTCCACTCAATATTGTTCTTCAAATCGAAGTATGATCGCTTGTCGGCCATTTCCTGCGGGTCATGCAAAATAAGGTGAAAAACGTCATCTCTGACGTTCTATACGCAAGTAATTTACCTGGGTTCCTGTGACGATAAAAGGGTTCCTTCCATTTAAAAGAGTATTCGAAAAAAAATTAAAACTGTTTTTTGCGAAAAGTGACTCGGGAATTATCACTGACACGAGGATGGTTATAAATCTGTTTATGACGTGGTAATTAACAAATAAAATCTGATCTCATGTGATCAAAAACAGCCAAATAATTTTTTTTAATATCGCACACAACTTTATTTCATGAATTAAATTGGTTTTATCTTGCAATATATTGGATACTGGCTATAATTTTAATGTATTTTTGCTAAATTCTCCTTAATTGTATATCGTCGTTTCGCTATTGTAAAAGAAAACATATCTTAACTCTTAATATTAAATTGAGAGTTTCTATTTCCGTTCTTTATTGGTAAAATATTAATATCTAAATTACATAATCGATTCAAATGCAATATTTAGCAGCATTGAGAAGAAGGGCATCAACACCCATTCTTTTATGTTTAAATCACGTGATTTTCGTTAAAAACTGATAATGCGAACTTTTCGTTTCTTATAATAAGATTAAATAGGTCAAAATGCAAAGGTGCAAAATACAATTATAAGAAATCATTATTCAAAAATCATTTTTTACGCATCACATGATAAAAGTATTAAATTCATACTTTATACAAACATAAAAAATTTATTGAGCTATATTTTAAATTATATCATCATGCTAATAAACTATTATTATACCCTGACCTAAACAATCTAACACAAAATTATTATTCTAAAATATTCAAAATATGATTATGCATAAACAGAGGTTCGATATTCTATTAATATCAACTTAATATGATAAAAATTTGCTTACTTTAGGTCATTTCGCTCAGTTTACCGTTCCTTAAGCAATTATTGTCCCAGTATCACTTTTAATTATCCGCTATCCTAGAAAAAACATTTGTTTTTTATAAATCTAGTAAGCTTATAGTCCGTTTAAAACTCATCAACTCACATCCATAACATCTTCCTCTTCATCCATATCGATATCATTATAGAAATCAAATAATTCTTTAAATTCTTTAAATTCTTGGTCTTGCAGGTAGAATCTATTACATGTATCAGGTACTAAATATTGCGCATGAAATTCATTATCAGATTCTTCATCCCCGTTACTCTCACTAGAACCATCATAATCAGAATTTGATGATTCACTCTACGTTTCGATATATAATTTTTTTTTTAGTATTAGCAATTGATAATTGTAAGATTTTCTGGACAAATATTGATGGTCTTATTTTGAATAATAAAAAATAATACCTTGCTCTCAATATCAAAAACATATGACTCATCATCAGAAGATATCGGTAAACAATCATCAAATTCTTCAGAAACTGGATAAAGAAGTTGATCATGTGAATCGTCGTATGTTAAAGAATATTCATAAGAATTATCATAGTAATGACCCGACTTTTCAAGTTCATCAGAAGAACTTGTAAAAAAAGGAGAATGTTCATAATCGTAAATCTCATAAGGGGTCTGATAAAGTTTCGTTTTAGAAAAATTTTCGAAGCTTAAATCTTGATCATAAAGCTCATCATCCGAGAGATCATAGAAATTGTAATGAGTGTATGTCATTTTTTCTTGAAGTTCAATAAGTAAATACAAGGAACGAACGAGATAAAAAAAAGTTATGCAGGCAAGAAAATTAAATTGTGCACGTTCAAAATTAGATACATAAATGATGATCTGATCAATTTTTTTTGCTACGTGATCTGCTACATGGTCATAAGATGATGGTGTTAGCCATATTAAAATATATATGCAAGTATTAATAAATTATTAACTGAAGCATCATAATAAACATTATTATGGAGATATTACGTATATATATTACTCCAGAAATATTTCAAGAAATAAATGTAAAAATATACTAAAGCCAATATATATATAGCTTTGGGATATTTTTCAGATTTGAATGACAATTTCTGATTTTATTCGTCGAAAACGCGTATTTTTAAGCTTATTTTTTACTTTATAGTTCCTGTTGAACATTTAAAAAAATAAATTTTTTTTATTGATATTTGCGGATCATTTTTTGTTTATTTTACAAGTCGCAGACGCAAAATATACCGTAATCTAGATATAAAAGCATTGAATATAATTTTTAAACGAACTACATTTTATTTTTTTTTTTAAATAAATCAGTTGGAGTTACGGTATTTAATTCAAAATTTTATTGTTATATGAACTAAACTTAACTTATTATTCAATTTTTATAACTAAAATTTTCTTTTGATTTAAATTCAAAAAAATCTATTCTATTTTTATTAGGAGCAAGATTTTTAAATTATTAGATTTATTAAATCATTGATATTAGTAGATACAGTTGCGTTGTCCTACTTCAAGTTCACGACTATGTGGAAAGCTAGTTTATGGAAGACTTTATCACTTACAGATATTTTTAGTTGAAAAATTGTCAATGAAAAGGTCATATTCATCTTTGTAAATTTTCTTCTTTTCACACACTTTCTTATTAATTACTTCAATATATGAAGACCTTTATAGCTAAATAATAATTATTCAAGTTCTTGTAAAAAGTAATTTTGGTAGTCTTGAAATTACCAAATAATTTTCATTTAAATATTTTGAAAAAATAAACGATGACTTCACATTAGGCGCAGTAAACTTATTAAGTTCAAATTGATCGTAGATAAAAAGTGGTTTTTTTTTTGCTCTAATCATACTTACTGTATCAATACATTTTCGAATACAATACATTATTTCGAATATCTTCCAAAATACAAAAGTAATAAATTTTTTTTGTTAACGTGACGTGCTTCCAATCTTATGCAACGTAAGTAAGAAGCGATTTCTCAAGTTTAGAATTGTACGCTTTATCGACATATGACCTTTAAATTTCCATTACTTGAGCATTAAAAATCCGCAAGAAAAATCATTAAAGTTTAATAAATCGAGATGTCTTTGTCATATAACCCACTTTCTCTTTAATTTTTGAGCCACGGCAGCGGTAGTTCCTGAACCGGCAAAATAATCGAGTACGCATAATCTTCGAGTATGTAAGTAATTCGAGTTATTGTTTATGGTTTTGTCGGATCTGATTATTTTTTGTTTGAAATTCAAAATAATACAAGTGACAATTCATGGAAGAATTCAAGTGCTTGTACAATACAAAATCAAGGATTTTATTTTTTTTTAGATAATACATTTGATAATACAAAAGACTAAAAAAATTATGCATTATTTGTATTGTAATCGCAATCAACAAAAATTCG